TCTGGACACACTCTAGTCCCTCAATGTCCTTCTTACAGTGAAGGGCCCCAAAACTGACTTCAGGATTAAAGCTGCAGGCCTCACCAGTGCCCAGTAAAGGCCAGTGGTCACCACGCTGGGCATGTGGCCATACCATGGCTGATACAAGTCAGGTGCTATTGGTGTTCTTTGTCACCTGGGCTCATATTTAGTCACTGTCGACCAGCATTCCCTGGACCTTGCCTGCTGGGCACTTTCCTGTCGTTCTTCCCCCAGCCTGGAGCACTCCATGGGCTTGTTGTCACCCACAGGCAGGACTAGCACTTCACCTTGTTGACTCTCATACAACTGGCCTTGGCCCATCAATTCAGCCTGTCCAGATCCTTCCTGCACAACAGCAGATAAACACTCCTGCCCAACTCAGCATCATCTGCAATCACTCATCACTGCAATTGGTAGAAACCACAAATCAACAGTTTTTCATCTTCAAAGACACCACAAAATCCACGGTAGTCCCCCATTTTAACTCAGACACTAGTTATACTGTTGTCTATCCTCACCTATGTTATATTACCACTGCTATATTCCTATTAGAATTAAAATAAATTCCAACAGTATAAATTCCCATATTGTTGCAAGGGAGTTGTTCTGTGGGCTATTTTTGTTAGTTTGGGGGGCTGTTTATTTTTTACTTTTGTTTTGATTTTTTTAAAATTGTTAACACATCACCTTCTGGGAGCAGGAAAGAATCTTAAATTAAGGTCTCAAAATTATGGAGAAAACTTCACAAAGAATGAAAAATATTCATGGTGAGAAGTGGAGTTCAAGATGTTTGGAAAAACTTCAGTGTCTCAAGAATTAACAGAAAATCCAACTCACAGTTATCTTACATTAACACATCGCTCTCTCCAAACAACGGAAATTAAACAACTCCCCCAGATCCCCCTAAAAAGAAGAAGAATACCAAAATCACAAGATCCTCCCCATCCTTCTCCCACCAAAATACCCCAAACAAACAAAAAACCTAAACCTCAAAAATAAGATCATCACTAAGTTAAAAGCCTATATTTGGAGATCTTTACTTTGCCAGAAGTAGAACCTGGTTTAATCATCATAGTGCATGTAAGCTCTGCTCTCTACTCCTCACTCCAATTATTAGCAACTGCAGAATAAAACCAATGACAACAGCAGAATGTTGGTCACTCACAAAAAAAAAAAACAGAACAGTGATTCAAGGTATATCACAGCAGTTGATTTTTTTTTTTTAAGTAAGAAAAGCCTTTTTTTATAGTAAGTCAAGCCTTGCAGGAGGTGGACTTTGCTGATCCTTGTGGGTCCCTTCCAGCTCTGTAGAATTCTGTGACTCATTTTGAATAGCTAACAAGAAATGGAGATGCTCTCATTTTAAGCTCACCTGGCCAATTTTTAGCATTTGCAGCTTCTCTAAACTGTGTTTCCAAATAAAAAGCAGCAGGTTCCCCATAACCATTGCAGATACTGAGGAGCTGCTTTTCTTTTTCAGATACTCAAATAGACATCAAATTGGTAAGAGAAAATGAATACAAAATAAATCAGTACTTTCATTTGCCACATGAAACCAGTAGTTTTTATAGAATGATCCTTGTTAGTGGCAGGGAATCCTAGATTTCCTACATGGTCAGCAGTTACTTACTTCAGAGTACTATGCAAGCACACTGAGAAGTGAGCAACATAAAACTGCAGTTTCAGACAGGTTAAGGTAGTGAACCTTCAGTAATCTTAAAGACAGTTCCATCTTCAAGAAAAAGCATGGAACTATCCTGATGGTAATAACCATATGTGTAGGCACACATGCTTCAGTCCACCTACCTGCATCCCAGACATAATTTCAGGAAACACAAGTACATCTCTGTGCAAATATTTTATTCCCCAGCTAATTAAAAGGACAAAGTAAAAAAAAAGAAAAAAATCACACAGAGTAGCTGTTTTAATCAAACTTTCTAAGTGAGGAACATAAGGACAGGTTAATTTAATCAAGCATGATTAAACCACTAATAAACCTCAAGACAGGAGTCATTAGCATCTTTCAAGCATTTCCTTCCTCCTAACATCTCTTTACTCTTGCCTCAATCAAATCTTGCTACTTTCTTCTACCACCTGTTTTGAGCACTGAGCAGCAAAACATCAGGTTCCACCAGCAGTTAAGATAAAGATGATACAACAAGCATCCCAGTCCTGTTCCAGTTTCCCTACATCCATCAAATGAAGGTTGTACAATTGCCAGACATCACTGAGGAAAACAAATAAAGTAAAACAAAACTCATAGGTAGAACAGCAGTCTGTTAGATGCCCAGGTAAAGTACATGGGAAGGGCAAGAAGGCAATCAAAACTAGTTGAATACTCTCCTAGTTTCCAGCTTTGTGGAGACCGAGGTTATTCACCTTCATACCACTGATGATTTTACAGACTTGCAGTGCACCTACCTCCTCATTCCTCTACTTGCTGTCATGCTCAAGTTGTTCCTGAACAATTCAAGTTCCAGAGGTGCACTAGTTTTGCCACCCCTTCTGATCAAAGCCGCAATTCCTGTCCCCAAGCAAGACAGCTTGGTCGTGGTAATATTCTGATCAGAGATTAATTGACCCAACCATCCTTACTGATGAATATTAGCAGCAGCAAGAGAGAAGCACAGCAATTCCTTAGACTACACTGCTACTAATACATCAGCATAGGATGCTCTTGCTTTCCTTATATCAAGGCTATTTCATATATTTGTAATGATCTCCATTGCTCTTCCTCCACCTCCCTGATCAGCGCAAACAGTACGGCATGGTAGCCAAGGGAGAGTCCAGACCTGCAGCAGAGAACAGAGTACTCAAATTTGGATGAATAAAGGATTAATATACTGGCATAATATGGTCTTTTATTCTGCATTTCATTCATTAAGTCATAATTTCTACCATTCTATTTACTTTTTTCCCCCACTACATCTTGAATTGACTTTTCAGAGTATCATGGACAGTTACTCTCAGATGTTTTCTTCCCCAGATACTGCAGAAAAACATAAAAATATCATTGCTTTTGTATTCCTAGTAACACAATGCAATAAGAACAGCTGAAGAATTACTGAAGCTAAGCCTGAAAGATGTTTACTTTGCTATTGAACACAATTTTTATGACAACCATGACAAAACTTAGTAGCTTAGAAGAGCAAGTAAATACAGCAAAAAAATAAATCAGCAAAGCAGTTTACACAACAAAAAACATTCTCTGACACAAATATGGAACAAGTAATATTGTTTCTGAAGTGTACTTTGCTACAGAGTAGAAAAGAAGAAAAGTTTGTTTTAACCCTTTGTAAATTTCTTCTCAGTATCCTCAAGAGCAAATCTGGAAAGAGGAAGGAGGTAAACACTCCAAGTATCCATCAGCTTTAGGGTACAGAGTCGGCACAGGTGTAAGCACATGGAAAATTTCTATAAGCATATGAAATATTTGAGTTATGTTTCATTTGAAAAAATAAAACTTTTGACTTCATAATATAGAAACAGTTGTCAAATAATTTTGGTAAACCATGTAAACTTTGCTTAAGTCGCCCTTATCTACAGTTTGATTACACTTTTCAGAGGGCTATCAGGTTACTTAAAAAAAACCTCTAATCTGATCCTGTTCTGTCCACTGTGAAGAAACACTATGTGAAGAACACAGGCTTATCACAAAGTCGGGTCAAAACCTAGCGAGTGACTGTTAGCTGTCATGCAAGTATCAGAAGGGTTTAAATATTTTCTTTGAGCACGGAGAAATCTTTTAAGTAGGCACAAGAGACTGGTAAGGAAAAAGAAACCTCAAGAGGAGCAACAGCTCTGCTCTCCCAGATCTCCAGATGGATGAGGTCCGTGCAGCTCTTACCAGTTGGTCTGATGCTCGCAGAGGCTCAAATTGCGATTTCACACTGCGATAACTCCCGGCAGCAGTAACGCTCCGAGACCGCCGAGAAGCGACCCCGAATCAGCACGGCTCTGGCAAGTGTGCGGGTGCACCCCGGCAGTTGCAAGGCTGAACTCACTTCTTCTTTCCCTCCAGAGCCCTCAGCCTCCTATCACAAGCGACACAGCAGCCGCCCGGTTCTTCACGCCGAAGGGGAACCGGCAGCACCGACGGACGGCGGGCACAACCCAGCACGGGAGCGCCCCTCCGCGAAGGGACCGCGGCACTCCCTCTGCCGGGCCGGGCCGGGCCGCAACCCCGGGCCCGCAGCCCAGCCCACTTGGCCGCTCCGGGCACGGCCGAGGCTGCTGTGGCCAGCTCGGCTCGGTGCTGCCCTGCCCGGCTCGGTTTGGCCCATCCCCACTCACCCGCTCGGCCCGGCCCGGCCCGGCCCGGCTCGGCTCCCCGCTGCCTCAGTCACCGCCACCGCACTTCACTTCCGGCCCCGCCCCGCCCGCGGCTTCTACAATTGCTCTTGCTTTGAAATATACAGCTACATTTTCCAAAGAATCCAGGGTTATGTTTGGAACGGACTTTAAAAATAATCTAGTTAAGATCGTCTTCACTCGGACGGTGTAAAAAAAACCTACTGCCTCAAAAAAGGGAGATGTTGGAAAGACGGCTCCAGCTAGAATGTTGGCAGCAGAGGAATTAAGAGTTTTGTCTCTGCCCTTTGACATGGAGCACAAACACTCCATTCCTGTACATCTGACATATGAGTCTGCCTTGTGTGTGACACTTGTCATAACGTTGCCTGATACCGAATTGCAACACAGACGATTTCAGATCAGGCAGGGGGGAAAAACTCAACACGACAAAGCAGACAAGAAAATGCACTGTCATAGGAAACTGCAGATTCGAAACTCACAAGCACTGCTGTCGCACGTCTAGAATTTGAATATGCCTTAATTCCGGCTGGACAAGGTTATGGGCAAGGCTCTTTCCAGCTCTATTTCTTGCTTTGGCAAAATGTGAAAGGAGCCTAATACGAGCTAGAAAATAAGGCATGTTGGAGGTTAGTAATTATGGCAGATAATTAATATAAGGCGATACATTCTTACAGAATTTAATGTATTTGCAGCCCAAAGAGTAAACAGTATCTCTGTGGTTATACCTAAGTGAATTACCCCAGTAAGGTAGAAAACAAGGATGCCAGATCCTTTTCATTCAAGCCCTATCCCAACGTATTTAGCACTGACGTGACATTTGGGAAGTTTCTCCAGCTAACCCTTTGTAATTCAGTTACTGTCACCTCTAAATTAATTTCCTGGATTCCACAAATTAGGGAATGAGAGGATACGGGATACACTACAACGTGTTCTGAGAAAAGCTTCTCAAAGGTATTACAGGCACAGCTAGAAGCCACGTCTATCTAAAAATCAAAGGCTGTTACTGTACCGTGCAACAGTACAGTCCTCTGTAATACTGGAATGCACATGGAATGTTCTCACCAGCTTGGTTGGGCTGCCACAGAACAGAAATCAATGGAAGCTGCAGACACTTGCACAGAATTCGTTCCCAGCTAATAAATCACACAAACAATCACAAAGATAATGTGACATTAACCCAGAAGCTTTTAGATGGGTTGTAGTTTCATTTTATTTGTGTTATCGCCTTTGATATCCTGACTAATTACAAATTTTTCAGTTTATTTTTGCATTCTTTTTTAGGCTTGTAACGAGGAGGAGCAACAGAGCTGCTATGTGCAATATAGTTACAAAAGCAACCAATAAATTTTATTAAAAGTAGGCTCCGATATTTTTGGCCCTTATTGATTCCACTGGAGTACCTAGCATCAGATAGGGCATATTTTTCCATCATCTGAAGAAGATAAATAATAAAATATTTTGCTAAAAAAAATATACTTTCATGCAACAGCTTCCTGGAACAATTGAGCAGATTTCCTATGTGATGGTAGAGGGCAGACCAGAAAATCAGAACACCACCTTTAACTTCAAAAACAATAAACTTATTTCGTGGTCCCAGAGACTGAGCCAGAGGTAAGCTTGCCAGAGGCAAGCTTCAGTCTCATAGTACACCTACAAATATTCCTAAAATATTCAGTGTCTTAGCTTCAGAACTATTCACAAGTCTATCTGATGTGCTACTAGAATTTCAGTGGTTATCATTTTCAGTTCAGTTCCTATCTGGAGCAAGTGAATGTTTCTTATCTAGGAGAAACTCTATTCAAGCCCATTTATTCCAGGGAAAAAAAAAAAGATCAGGAAGGAAGATATTCTGACAAACCACTAAAATTCAACTGTATTTCAGAGTATGTGGCATTTACAATTACTTTGCTCTGTGCAACACTGTTGCTAATGTGAGCAGTGATTAAACCATGAAAATTTCAAGTGAACATCTTGTATTGCGAATATTCAAGTATCTCAAAAGACACAGAAAAGCAAAATTCAAAAAATGTCACAGAGGTGTGGTTGTCGTCATCTTACAAGGACAGGTTAGGGGTGACCAGCACACGTCTACTCATAAAATAAGAATTCAGGTCACCCGGTAGAGCTCCTGTATTTTAAATGTTCAGTTAGTTCCATAGAGAAAAATCAGGTGCTTCTCCAACAGGGAACTTTCTCCATACTCCTTGGTTTACAGAGCATTCTTGGTTTCTGGAGACATGGACTAACCGTTTTAACCTTCTCTTCCTTGTCCTTCATTAATGCAATGTCCCTGGATCTCTACATTTCTCAAGTGTGTCACTGCAGTGACATTAACAGATGGTTCACATACAGAGAACAGGGACATGAGAGGACAAGCTGTCTGCATGGCTTCATCCAAGAAGAGAAGGCATGTAGATATCACAAAAATGGTATAAAAACCTGATGACAAAAGTCCATCATTTGGATCGTATCCTGAATATATCCATTCACTCACCAAACTTTAAATACGGGCTCCATCTATTTTCAAAAGCAGAAAATACTAGATATTATTAGAATCAACAGTAAATATCCAGCCAGATCCCCTCTGTAACTTCCTTCTACATTCAGGGCTATCTTGAATGGGAAAAAGATGTCAAATGGGAGTTTCCAGTGCATTTGGGGCTGGCCTCGTGGAGGTTCTGGCCAATCTGTCATGTCAGTGAAGGTAACGACAGTTGTCAGAGGTACCATACTCATGTTTAGAAACTGCAACAAGAAGGGAAACAAAAAGAGTTTAGCAGAGAGACACATTCCATGTTGTACCTCACAGCCATTAAGATGCCCGGGTGGGTGTCAGCTGCTCCCCCTAAAGCCCTTACAGAGAAGTGTAAGCCTTGAAATATATCTGCTGCACAAAATACTACGTGATATCAAAACAAAACAAAAAAAAACCCAACACAATGGGATCCATTGACACGTGCTTGAAAAAGACTGCTCACTGTTCTCTGTGGACTTGTTAACCGACACATTGACGCATTCCTGCGGGCATCACAGCAACACAGAATCATCGGGGCTGGAAGGGACCTTTAAAGGTCACCTAGTTCAAGCCTTCTTCCATGAGAAAGGATGCCTTCAACTAGAATAGGTTGTTCAGAACTCTGTCCATTGTGGCCTTGAATACATCTTTGCGGCTTACAGCCTTCCTCCCCAGTTCTCCCAATATGCTGCTATCAGCATTAGTCATTTCCTCAGCTACCTATTGGTGATTTCAGAAGCTACAGAGGAATAGAAATATCTTCTTGTGCAGATGATCAGCATTCTGTGGAGTCGGTGAAATATTACTCAACTCAAATTCCGTATCAAGGCTTTAAGAGACAACTAAATAAACATGGAGTTACTGAATGTTTGTAACTACAACTTTATACCAACCGTAACTGAAAGTTTCAAGACTGAGTCCTTAAGTAGCAGAAAGTGGTTTAGGGTTGGAAAGAAGGTATCTTTTCCAGTTATGCAACTGAGTGAGGACAGTACTGAAAAGACCACAAAACAAGCTTCCTCTATAAAAGGCTACCATTGCAGCCAGACAACTGCTAAAATTCAATAAATCTCAACTTACTTAGTTTCAAGACCATTTGATTCCTTGGTTCTTAAATAATCTGTAAGCCCCCTTTAATTATCTCTGTGTGTGAGAGAGGGTTTTGAATTCCATACCTTGAGGGGGTGACACTGGTAAAAGTGCCGTGCACCCAGTATGTGAGCTTGTGGGTTGGACAGGAGGCCCACCTTAGTCCACAGTATCTGTATCTCCAGGGTCACGGGAACCATACAACAGGAAGTGCAATTCACAGCCTGAAAATAAAATAGACCCCAATCAACTCGTTATAGTCTTTTAAAAGTGATAAAGGACCATTATGGTCAAAGTCTATTATTTTGGGTAATATAGGTCACAGAACCTAAATCAATCACTTCAGCACTGGTCAGGACAACTACCCATTCTGGAGCTACATCCATCTCATTGCCATCTCAGCTCCACTTAGAATTTGTCTCAGCTTTACCACTTGGATTTCACATTCCACTTAGCCATTCTCCCACAGATTAACAATTATTATAATACAATTGGCTCACAAACTTTAACCCTATTAAGTAATATAATAAGATATAAATATCCCTACAAAAATACTCCCTGTTCAGGAAAAGCAGCAAGGATTATAATAATAATTAATAGGAAGTAGCCAGTTATTATCAGTTTCAAAAGGCTGTCAGAAAACCATATAACATAACACTGGATTCAGTATTTTACTCTTTTTGCCCGTCTAAATAGCAAAAACAGGATTAAAGAGATAGGAAATATCAGGGTTTGTTGGGGTTTTATGAGGGATTTTTCTGTTAAGTACTCTAATAATATGAACCATAATGACTGCATACACATTTTAAGACCCCTGAGAGTCATAGGATCATTATGCAAAAATAGTCCAGATACCCCCACCTTCCCAAGGCAATACAGAGATATGAAAGGAAAAATATTTACAGATGGTATTTTTGCATTCATATTACCTGCACACTGCAGTTCTGAATCAGAATGGTCATCCACTCTTCTGCCTCGGTTGAATGAGCATTGCCAGTTATAGCAAAATCTTCTGTTCTGTTCATCCCCCAAAAAGCCTTGTATAACTTCTGCTGCATGTAACTACAGTTACTGTCTTCCAGTATTTGGGATAGGCTGGAAATGAGAAAATAACATCTTTTAGAAAGTGACTTCCAGGACCAAAAAACCCCCAAATCACTGTCAACATCCTTTCTTAGCAGTAAGTATTTCTTCTCCTCTTGAAATGAGACAACAAGTATCGGTATTACACAGATGCAGTTTCAATCCTCTCTGCAATGAGAAAGGAGAAAAATATGGCAGGGTAATGCATAAAAAGGAAAACTGACAGCTCTTTAGCAATATTATCTCATCAGTGGTCCTACAATTGCCCTGTCAAAAGAACGATCCAAATCATCAAAACAACCACTTTTTAAGATTCACTTCTCAACTCTACTCTTGCCCAAGACAAATTGCCACATTAGCTCCTCAAAATGTCCCAGAAGACCTTCACAGTGTTCAGATTATTCTAGGAGTCCACCATCTTTCCTAGATTCAAGTTTTCTCAGGAGTAGATGAAAGATCTGTAGAGATCCACTGGTGACCTCAGGGAAGGAGCTTGGCTCCCCAGCAGTACACGAGAGACTACAGAAAAACATGCCAAGTGAGTCCACAACTTCCAACTGTCAGAAAGCATGACTGCAGAGTGTGTTGTTACCTGATTTTGCAGCCTGTTCTCATATTCCTTCCAAATTGTACTATGTGTCTGAGGACCTGTGAACAACTTCCATCACTTTCACTCCTTAATACGCTCATCTGACAGACTACACATCAAGAAGCCAAACAAAAGTATAAACAGACAACATACAACACTCATCTTGTATTTAACAATCCACTCACCCCATATTCCTCCTTTTCACTATCGGGGCACTATAAAAGTCCAGACAGTGCAGAACCAGAAATAAAAAAAAACCCCAGCGATAAACAAAAACTCACAGCAGATAAGGATACATGTTGCATGGCACCACTGTTTGCAATCAACAGTGGTGCTCCAATGATATAGCCAGGGTTTCCACTTCTAGGCAACATACGAGAAAGAGTCCTGGTCTATAAAGACGCAAAGGGAAGAAATACAAAAAGAGGAAAATATTAGCACCAATGACATCCATTCATCTCCAAAGATCAAATTTACATTCTCAAAAAACGTAAATGTAAGCTGGTTTTGAATTACTGATTATTATACACTACTTAAACTATTTGTTTCCAAGGCCTCTTTCTTACCTGGCCAATTTCATTTGTAGTCCAGGAGGTAAAAAAACCCCTAAATGTCAGTATCCTGAAATGTGGATAATACCAGGAAAGTTCTCAATACAATGAATTGCTATTGCTCAACATTTGTCTCTGAGGAAGTGATCAGATCAGTCAGGCCAATTCTACAGAAGAACTGCAGAGCAAACCCTGCCTTGACCCTGATTCTTAGTGGACCATTCCACTTCTAAACGGTTGTATGACAAGAGCCTATGGGCATAACTTCAACAGGGTTGCACAGCACACTTACCAACCCCTGAGGTCACCACTTATCCAATTTTACATTCTCTCTATGGGACATGATTTATGTGAACTTAACACACACTAGTGTTTCCCAGATTTCTACCCCCTTCAAAGTAACTTTCTTTCCTGCTGCAAAGTTAAGTGAGTACCCGGAATAAATTCAGTAACTTTGTTCACAAACACCAAACACGTCAGACACAGGCACCCCAGGGTTCTGCTACTTCTATACCACAGTGACACTGCTCTAACCTTTTCAGGTCTCATCTGTACAAAAATGAACCACAAGCTACAGACTAAAAACGTGGTAAAATTCCAGGGAGGATGGGGATACTAACCCAGAAGTGCACAGTGAAGTGCTGCTGCAGAGAGGATCTGGAGTTCCCAGAGATGTTGCTCACTTGGAACTGAACAGAAACACTCTGAATCCCACTTGTGCCACTATATTCTATCTCATAGATGACCTGAAAGTCCAATTTAGAGAATAACAGGAGACAAGGTAATAGGGTGACTTTAAGTTTGTGTTAAGCTCTCTAAAAGGAAAGATTGACGTACCTCAGAAACAACATTGGTGCATGTGTTGTCTTTCATGTGGGGAGCTCCAGGTGGTGAGACTGCAGTGACATTTACCTGGAGACAGTAAGCATACTAACAGTTAATAATTGTTTGAACGGAGAATGCATTTTTTATTCTTTTTCACTGCTTTTCCATGCAAGTCAGATTTACCTCCCTGCTGTAGTTGTGATCTAGGGGCACATCATACTGCTCCAGATCCCCAATCTTTTTCCAGGAAAGTAAGCTACCTCCCTGACTTTATTCCTACCTATGCCCATTCATTTAAAAATACACCCTTACTTATGTCTTTTTTTCCTCTAATGTCCTACTTTTGTCAAGAAAAATCTTGTCTCAGACACAGCACATTCCCATTTTCCCTTCAGAAGCAGAAATTCTTTTCATTGGCAGCAGAGACTGACCTTCATGGACTGCATAACAGTGTCATTAATTGGGACCTGGGGAAAATAAACAAATCGTTTTACAATACCAATAAAAAGCTAAGTAAATTGCTGTGTCTGCAAGCGACTAAAGCCATAAAATCATTACAAAAGAACCTGAATATTATATTGACAAAATTACTTTGTTTATTCCAGATGTGAAAACTTGTTATCATTTTGTAATCTATAAATGAGAGACACATTCCACAGAAAGCATTTTAAAATACCAAAAGACAATTTTAAGCTTAGCTCTACTAATGTCCTGCAGAATGCAGGTACTTTTAAGCATCACATCTCTGATCCATTCCCGAAACTCCATCTTCTGCAATCAAACAAATACTTCAGCATCCAGTTAAGGAAAAACTGAATTTGGCAAAGTGACAAAGAAAGCCCTGAAAACACTAATTAAATCTGATGAACAGAATATTCTCTGCTAGTTAAGTACATTTAGATTTCCAGTATAAATGTTAACTGAGTCATCACCCTGAATAAGTACCCTATTTAAAATGTTGTTTTCTCTTGGAAAGACAGCAAAATTCTACAAGGTGAGAGGAGACATTTTCATATAAGCATTCAGTAAGACCAGCAGGATGAACCCAGAACAGTAAATTGGTTGCTTTGAATTTATTGTCAGGATAAATAGTAGAGAAATTGATATGGATATAAATAGAGCTAATATTAATTAATAAGGGGCCTCCAGTATGATTTTAGAGGTAACACTTTACGTAAAAAAACCACCCTAATTCTTTACTGAGAACATGTACTGCTTGGTTGATCAAGCTGATAGAACAGACAGGAATACTTTCATAAACCATCTGTTTAAAATGCGAGAGAATTTCAGATAAACCATTAGAACTATGAAGTATCAATGAAGTACCAGTTAAATGCATTAAGAATTCGCTAATAATGGAAATTTATTGGAAAGTAGTTTGAATTGAAGGATTATCACTGGTCATGCACGACATTTTTAACAGGTTTCTCAGCAAGAAGGCCTCGGCAATTGGGAGATCAGGAATGACGTACCAGATGACCTTTAGTTTTACAGTTACCCGAGGTCACAGTGGAAGGCAACGCGAAGTCAAACAGTTAAGATTTTGAACAAAAACAAGAATTAGGAAATGCACCTTTAGCACAGTGAAGTCACGGTAGTAGGAAGCAGCATCTAGGGCAGGGTCAGTCATGCAGCTCTTGCTCAAGTTGGCAAAAATCCGAGTACAGCTTGTGCTTTTACTGTCCAGGAAACCTGGGTGAGTTAAGATGTGACAACAGATAAAACAGAAGAAAACCACCCTACGATATTCTTCCCCCTTTACTAACCAGCAGGATTTCCATCAACACAAAGTCCACTGGCTCCCATTTTTACTGGCTGTCTAAGCATGCTCAATACAGATGATGAATCAAAGTAGATTAGGATTGGATCACCAGCCTGAAAAGACAATTTGGAGAAATCACAAAGTTACAGTGGAATACTAAGGCCACGGGCAAGAGACAAATCTATACTTCTTTGTGTACACCCAGTTTTGTCTAAAAGGTTGTCCAACCTCTTAAAGACAAGGCAACTGACCAGAAACTTTTTATACACTAAGGAATGGAAAGTACTGAGAGATAAACAGCTTAACAATGTGCTGGGGTAACCAGGAGGGCCAACTGTGTCCTGAGGTGCATCTGGCTCAGCATCACCAGCTGCTAGGGGGAGGCAATTGTCCCACTCTACTCTGCATGCTGTTATGGCCTCACCTTGAGCCCTGAGGGCACTTATGAGTGCCACAACATAAGCCATAAAGCTATTGGAGTGCATCCAAAAGAGGGTTAGAAAGATGGTGAAGGGAAAGCCATACAAGGAATGGCTAAAGTTGCTTGGCTTGTTCAGCCTGGGGGAGACTGAGGGGAGATCTCATTGCACTCTGCAGCTTCCTCCCAAGGGGCAGACACCAATCTCTGCTCTCTCTGACAAGGGACAGGACCCAAGGAAATTGCTGGAGCTGTGTCAGGGGAGGCTTAAGCTGGATATCAGGAAAGTTCTTCCCCCAGAGGGTGACTGGGCACTGAACAGGCTCCTCAGGGAATGGTCACAGTCCCAAAGCTGACAGAGATCAAGAAGCATTTGGGCAACACTCTCAGGCACACGGTAGGATTGCTGGGGCGTCCTGTGCAGGGCCGGACTCGATGATCCTTGTGGGTCCCATCCAACTCAGGATAAGCTACGATCCTATGATATTATGGCTTCCAGGTACAAAACAATAATCTTTTAATCTGTTCTCGTCAGACATCATTACAGACAGCTTTAGTAAAAGCATATGTGCAAATTGATTGCTATTTTCTTTCAACTCACGCGGTAAAAAGCAGAGAACGATGTCTGAACTTGTGATGGTGCTAAGAAAGAGTGCCTGCCATACTTCTCTAAGAACTCCACAAAATCAGATTCTTTGATATCCTGTGGCTGTTGAAAATAGTTCAGCTTTGCTAGAGTTTGAAAAGGAAAAAAAAAATTCCATCAATATTAAGTTACTAGAAAAGATAACAGTAAATACTGTGCTAATATTTTTAAAAGGAATAACTTAAGTAATTGTAAACTAGCTGGTGCCTTATATTTATTAATCCATAGTAACACTTCTAATAGGCTAATACGCTCTACAAACAGGATGATATGAGTACGGTTCATGGGAAACAGACATTAATACACGGAAAAAAAAAAAAAAAAAAAAAGCATGAGACTCCTTAACAGCTATCTTAATATGTGCTGCAATTTCCGTGAGATGCCCAAATTAGGCACACATGAAATTTTAATTACAAAGCACCACCCGTTTGTGAGTTTACTAAAAGCAACATTAAATGGATTCGAAATAATTAAGTCAAACTGGTAACTGGTAAAACTCAAGATAAGTATGAATAGACTATCCTAAAAAACGAGACTTTATTTGGTATCCTTCAGTGGTATCTTCCTGACCTGGTGGTATTCAATGGTATGGTTATCATGCTATACTTTATTAATTTATTACTGCTACTGCACTGTTATAAAATGGCAAATTATTAAAGGCATGCCACATAGACTTATCCTAACACTAGAAACTTTTCAATGCATTCAAACAAAGCATCTTAGAAGAGTCAAGGATTACATATCCTAGTGACAATAGGAACAAGCAGCAGTATTCTCAACTACAGTAGTACCAGAAAGAACTTACATAATCCAGTAGATTTGGGGGGGAAAAAAGGAACAGTAAAAAAAGAATCTTAAGCTCTCAATGTAATTCTGCTGTTCAAAGGTAAAGCAGATGCTCAAAGGTACAGCAGAGCTAGCAGAAACAAAAGTTTTTTAATATCTAAATACACCATTAATTAAGCAGTCAAATCTTTCAAAGAGATAAAAGTCAAAGGAATATCAAGCTCCTACAAGGTTCACAAAAATAGGTACTCAGAGCAGCTCACTTAATAATCACTTGAGGGTATCATCATTAGACTGAAAATGAAAATATTTACAATTGTGCTACTCGCAGGCATTTAATTCATTTGGGATCCAGTTCATCACATACTCTTCCATTATCAAAGTCGAATACTTGCTACCACGGGTTAACAACATTACATAATGTAAAATATACCTGAAAACTGGAAGGAAATATCTTCGGCAGCAAAACTAAAGATATTCAAACTGCTTAAGTTTAGATACTAAAGGCTATTTAATCTTGTAGAAAAATAAAATAAAACATAATCTGCGAGCAATTGTTTCAACACGATGAAGTCTACTTGTACATCACTTTCACTGGCCACAATAATTAATTAGGGCTCGATTGTATCGCTGGAAATGGTATAGCTCATCACACCATCCTGGAAAAGCTGCTGCCACTATCAGTTGAATAAAATATATGCTTTCCTATATTTCCATGGGAAAGGCCACTGAAGAGAAGGCTGTTTCCACCAGAAAATGTTATAATTCTTCAGGTGATTCCAAACAAAGTCCTCCCCATATGTTCTTTCAACAACAAGCCCAGAAAAGAAAAAGGCCATGCCAACAAGTCTGCTACAACTAATGTATACATGCAGTCAAATATTTAGACCTCTTCAGTGGGCCTAATCACCATAGATATAGGGCCCAAATATCAAATGACTATTGAAAATCAAATGAATATTGAAAAACAACTGGTACCATCACTCTGAACACAGATGATCTTTTCCGTGCAAAACATTAAAAATTCAGAATCCTTTTAATCTTATTTTTAGGATATTATGAGAGGTGTGGGGGAGATTCCAAGTTACAGGTTGAAAAGCCCAGGAGCTTGACAGCACTTTAAGCTGTGGTTAAACCCTCATCTAAATTAATCCTTACTGTGAGACCTACTGAAAATTGGAATGAGTAAAATTCTAGTGCTACTACCTATCATACTATATATTATGAAGCTCTCTCATAATTTATTTGTTCTTCCCTGCATGCAAAACACTCAGGTAAAATCTGTAAAGAGCTGAAAGCAGACAAGATAATAATAAACTAACCTTGTTTTGACTAGCTGTTGTACCTGTTAATCTCCTGAGTCCCTCCCAACATAAAATACTCAGATTTAGATCAGAAGCAGATGGAACTGTGGGTCACAACTCCCAGATAAATAACTCAAAAGAGAAGATTATAAGTGTTCAAATGTGAGACCGCAGCAATTGCACTGAATGCCAGGAACTGGACACTGAATCACTCAAATGAAGTACAGTGTGGAAAGCAGAAAGAGGAAAGAATGTTAATGGCATATCCTCCACGATATATGATTACCAGTGAAAAAAATCTCTGTGAAACTGTATCAGCCAAAATAATTAGCAACAATTATAACTTGTAGTTAAAAAAAATACTCCCTTAGCAGAAGCAATCTGTGAATAAAATGTGTGAAACAAAATATTGCTTACAGTCATCCAACTGCACACAGAACAGCGGATCATGTCCACCAGGATCAGAAACGATGTCTGTAGAATAAGGGGTGTTACTTCTGAAAATGAGTGACCTTTCCACACACACTTGACTCACAGACCTGTAAAGACAAGCCCCGCTCAGCGAATTATACAGTGAACCATGCTTGCATTATTTTGCATTTTACATTACATAACGCCAACTTTATAACACAGTATTACATTCCATCAGTTCAGATGAGCTGTACAATCTGCATTGATAATCAATTACAGAAAACCTGTCTTGTCATTGCAGTAGCTTTGCGGACACTCGGTTAGTGTAATTGGAAATCACTCTGACATTCTCTGGAAGAAAAAGTGATTAAAAACAAAATCAATGCCCATATATTACAGCTCCTCTCGGTCCTCATCACAAGGGCAATCTGCAAAGCCAGATTTTACTCTCTAATAGGTGAGATCATCTTCCTCACTGACAGCATCTCGCGGTCTATACTTGTTTGACGGTCTCCTCATAGCTGTCCAAAGTTTCTTTTCCTTAAATCCAGACTTCCCAGCTCCCACCGCCAGCTGCCTCATCACGGAGTAGCCAAGCCTCGCTTCATCTCGGCCCTTGTGCTTTGAAGCCTTTCTCCCAGTCCCCGGCCCAGCGCCAAGCTGTCCCTGGGCCCAGGGCCGCGGCAATAGCACCGCGAAACACAGCCGGCCGAGGCGGAGCTGCCGCCGGGAGCCCGGCCCGGGCCCGCTCTCCTGGCCCGCCTCGGCCCGCTCCGGCGCCAGCAGCGAGCGGCACAAGCCCATCCCCAACCCACCTGCTGCCGCCAGAGCGCCGGGACGCGCCCGCGGGGCTGAGGGCGGGCAGCGGGGCGGGCAGCGGCAGCAGCAGCGGCAGCAGCAGCGGCAGCACCGCACCGGAGCCGCTCATGACCGCACACCAGCGCGGGGACCCCGCGGAGCCACAGCGCCTGCGCGGCCGGAGGGGCGGCGCCGGGCCCGAGGGGCGGGGCTGTTCCTTGATAAGTTGTTCCTTGCTTAGTCTGTTCCTTGATTTAATTCCTTTCAGTTAATTTAAAAATTAATTCAAATTATTGATTTTAACTTGGTCTGGTTCGTTTCCTTTCTATGGTTTCCTGGTCATTTGACCATGACATAATTAGTAGATTTTGATAGTCACAAACCATGTGACCAGTTTTCTTTACGTAGCAGCCAGTAATTTTCCATTGAAATTGGAGCTAATACAGCCAGACTCTTAGCACAGTGTCAGAGACTGAAATATTATGACTTATGACTTAAACATTTTCATGAAAGACTTTCGCCTGTTGTAGCAGAACTGTATTACAAAAGCAGCAGAGAAGACCATTACACCCTGAATGGGCTCCTGACTAGCTTTACACGGCTCGCTGATGAAGCTCAGGGCTGGAGACATTCACAAAGCACAAGCTTAACACCTTCAGGGTGGAGATCACAGCCCCAGGGCTATCAGTGCCAGGCTGCCACAGACCCTCGTACCGTAGGGTGGGGGGAAAAGCCTTTGGGTGTGCGTTGGAAAACCTCTGGACAGAGGCGCAGTGACCGCCCAGCCCGCACTGTGAGGAGCAGCCCAGCTGAGGGGCCCCTTCACCCGGGGAAAAAGCCGCACCCACGTGAAGCACAGCAGAAGGGGTGTCATGGCCCCCCTTAAAGGGGTCCCCAGACGCTGCACCAGAGCACTGCAGCACGAGGCAACAAATCCCGAGTCTTGCAAGGAACAGCGTCAAACTGGCGCCCTGCACGTGGGTGTTCCCGCCTGCCCGGAGTATATTAACGCACTGGATCCTATCCTCTTCGGTGTGGCGGTGACAGGGGACCCTCACCACCAAGACCAGATAGAAGGGAGCAACGAGACGTTGTTGGGACCCTCAGACGGGTGATGTGTTCCACCTGACCCCTGTTAGTCTTCCCCTATCCCTCCACCCCCCATGCACACTTCTTTTTTCTATTTCTTCCTTTCTATTTGACTCTTTTACTATTAAATTAAAGATATCATTTTTTTGGCAACAACACTTGACGTCGTTTGGTTTTAGTCACATTTTTTTAGTATATTTTGAACCTTCAGAGTTCTTTCTTCAAAGTTTTTTCAAACTTCAAAGAAAAGTTTTCTTCCAAGTTTTATATACAGAGACTTAATTTTCTTTGCTCTTCTGGGTTTAAACCGGATCATAACACCCAGGTATTTCACGAGGAAGAATAATAAATAGAAAAAAAATAGATATTTATATTATGGTGGTGCTGTTTTTGCTATTATCTACATTACAAAAGTCAGTGGAGTCAGTTGAACTTTCACATACTCATTTGTGTATGAGGAGGCACTAGTCTTACCTGAGTCTGGGATTCTGCCAACAGACTCCAGAAGTGGCTGTAGCCAAGCAGGAGTTACAAAGTTTGGGTACAAACATAAGATATAGATATAGGTACAGATTAGATATAGATATATCATGGTAAGCCACAGTAAGACACTGTTATTATCTAACATGATTACACAAGCAATATATTGCTGCCTGCTTCAGAAATCAACATAGGTTTGCTATAGGTTTTTTTTCCTTGCCCACCTGTTCATTTCTGTTCATTGATATTCATAGAAGCAAGACAGTTACTTGATTTAAATGGGCACTGCGGCCAGGAGGATTGTGTAGTACACGTAGGGACTGAGTCTATTCCTGAATTCTTTGTAGACCCTTGTACTGAAACAGCCTACTGGTACAAAGTTGCAGTCTAGCTCGGTTCAAAATTGAATTTATGCATGTAAGCCTTTAAACTGTGTTCATGACCACAATTATTTCCCTCACAGAATCTGGTATGACTCAGTAGTTGGAGGGCAGTGGTGAGGTTCTAAACACTTCGTTTTGTATGTGTTAATGTCAGCGCAGCCAGGCAGATTTTTTTTTTCTCTTTTCTCCCTCACCTATGATTTCTTCCTGCACTGGCAGATATGATCCCAATGTTCTTGGGTATTTTCTAGTGCTTTAGTCCAAAGGTTCAGCCACTGGTGGTGCATGCTTTATTTCAAAAGGTTTCAAGTTAGAAGCTCTCAGCATGGGGACAAAAATTACTGGTGACAGCATTTCTTAGCATTACTTTCATGCGCCGGAAGGCATCAGCCGTTGCCTGTGTCAGCCCTCGAGCCCGTGCCCGCTCAGGTGCCGCCCGTTGCCGCGGCGGTTCCCAACAGCTGCGCCGCCTGCTACCGCAGCCGGGACACGGCTCCCTCTGAGCTCCCTGCCGGCTCCCTCCCGTGTCCCTGCCGGCTCCCTCTGAGCTCCCTGACGGCTCTCTCCCGTGTCCCTGCCGGCTCCCTCTGAGCTCCCTGACGGCTCCCTCCCGTGTCCCTGCCGGCTCTCTCCCGTGTCCCTGCCGGCTCCCTCCCGTGTCCCTGCCGGCTCCCTCTGAGCTCCCTGACGGCTCTCTCCCGTGTCCCTGACGGCTCTCTCCGAGCTCCCTGCCGTCTCTCTCCCGTGTCCCTGCCGGCTCCCTCTGAGCTCCCTGCCGGCTCCCTCCCGTGTCCCTGACGGCTCTCTCCGAGCTCCCTGCCGCCTCTCTCCCGTGTCCCTGACGGCTCCTCGAGCGAGGCTGAGGGGCGAGAGGGAGGAAGGGAGGGAGAGACAGGGCAGGGCCGCGTGTGTTGTGGGAACGCTGCCGGGATACGCGCCTGTGTTGTGGGAACCGCGAGCGGCCGAGGGGCAGCCTGCGATGTCTGGCGGGCACCTCTGGCAGCCGCATCCCTCGGTTGTCCGGGCAGGCGTTCGAGACCTTCGGAAAGGCCTGGGGCTGGCGGCTTAGAGCTGCCGCACGCCCCTGGGCGCGATGGAGCTGGCCGTGAGCGAGCTGCTGCTCGCCGCGCACAGCGCAGGAGGTGAGCGGGCGGCTGGCGGCTGCGACCTCGTGACCGTCTTGAAAAAGAAGCGAAATTAATAATCCGACTTCAAACAGGAAAACAGCTTGATCCTAATCTGTTTTCTAAACTCACTTTCTAGTGTGCTAACGTTAGTGATTTTAAATAACAAGAAGGTTGTTAATGCTTCCTCTTAGAACTATCCCTAACTTCGAACAACATGTGTGTGATAGTATTTTCCTTAAACATTCTTCATTTATTTCTGCAGAGGAGAGGCTGGATATCACGTAGCTCATTTGAATGCAATCATGTCAGTACACCTGGAAGCAAAAACTCTTTATTCCTTTTTTTTAATTTCAGATGTTCAGGCTTTGAAGAATGCTTACCAGTTAATCAAATCAGCCGCTGAAGGACAGTCTGCACTTGATTCATCAGATAACGTCAGCACCGATTTATATGTTTTATGTGCTGAACAAGCGCTTCAGGTTTGTAATTTAGGTCTTTTATCTGTATTAAATAAAAAGATGTATATGATGCACTGCATTTACAACTGTTACAGTTACTACTTTAAAAACCTCTGAAGCACCTGAGGAAAGTATTACACTGTTCTGGTTTTGGAGAGCAAGTGTTTAAACATGCATTTTTCATTAAAACTCCACCCCTAAATCCTCATTTCTTTCTGGTCAGTCAGCAAAGTGTGGTTTTTGAAGTTTGTAATCGTATCCAAATTAGCAAGGTGTACCGTAATATATACAAAAAAGTTTTCCATGCCTGTTTTTTCTTGTTATGGAAAACTTAGCATTAAGCAATTTGGTTATGGCTGAAGAAAGTATGTTTGTGAATATCTGTACCAGGCAAAAGAACCCTAATAAAAATAACAATAACCCTCGTCCATTCTAATGATGAAAGGCTGCTGCTAATTGAAACGAAATTACTTCTATAAAATGTGGTAGAGATTTTTAATTTTGAAGTACTTGTTAATATTCAATTTATGATCACAAGTAATTGGGTTTTAAGCAGACAGAGTTTGTAGTAAAACATTTTTTTTCCTCCAAGCTGCAATCCAGTTAAAATCTGTCTGTGGTCTGAAAATTGAGGTACAGCACTGACAAATCCTGCCAGCTAATACCACTCCTTAAAAAAAAAACCCAAAAACCTGTGAAGAGTTTTGTCTTTATGTCAACAATTGTGTTTAAAAAGGAAACATTTTTTGGATACTCTGAGCAGTTCTATGACTGACTGAGGAATTTTGTTAAATAAAGAAGCTTTTTTTTTTTGTACATACATTTGGAATGACAAAACTATACCTTTAGTAAATTGTAATGGGCTTATACCACAGCTGGTATGTACCCCTATGGAATATTGCTTACATACTGGTATGGAGTTAGATGTTACCCTTGATTAGGTAAGCATTTTAAAAAGCTAACAATTCTTAATTATTTGTTGCATTTTTTAAAAATATTGAAATGCTTTTTTTTTTTTTTTTTGAGTTTTAGCTGGGATATCTGGAAATTAGCAGTGACTGTCTACAGATGTATTTTAAAGGAAGATTTCCTGTGAACCAGTTTCTTGGCAGAGCATATTTGTGCCAAGGCCAGCTGCATGCTCCACGCTCTACAGATAATTTGGTGAGAAATTATGAAGGTTGCTTTATACTAAGCCTGTTTTTTCAAGTATTTATTCCTAAGTTTTTATGTGTTGCTTTCAATCATTTAAAATACACAAGGATAAGCAGGACTGTGGGAAAAATTGAAGGAAATACATAAACAAGTAGTTTGTGAGTAAACAAAACTTACCATCTGAATCACAGCAGTATTTCAAATATTTTGGAGAAGACAATAAAAAAGAATGCTTGTAAAAATTTTTAGGTGGTTGATTGTTTTAAGTCACCTTCTTAACTTTTTACTTAAATATGATACTTTCAGAGCAAATTAGCTGTAACTGTTAAAATAATTACTGATTTTATTTGGTAGGCTTCCCTACCTTGGGAAGTGGAGGACTGAAGAGGCCCTCAAAGAGGTTGTACAGTTCTTTTCTGTGGCAGTGTATTTCCAGCACTCACCAGTAACGTTTCCATGTAGTATGGATGCAGCTTTTTGTAATGAGAGGTGGTAGCAATTCAGCAGGATACTTCTGCTTCTATGTGTTGCTTTGAGGTGTTACAATTCCCTAGATATAAAAAGTAGTTTTTATCTCCTGCCGATTTTAAAATGGAGTGGGATCTGTTTTCTGTCTTCAGTATTTCACTTGTCCTTGTACTGTGATCAGTCAGCTTTGATCACCTGTTAATGGTATCTAGCCCCCCAAAATAGCCTTAACAGATGTTTAGAATCATAGAGTATTCTGAGTTGGATGGGACCCACAGGGATCATCAAAGTCCAACTCTGGCTCTGCACATGACAGCTTCCTGTGCCTGACAGAGTTGTCCAAAAGCTTCTTGAGCTCTGTCAGCCTTGGGGCCATGACCACTGCCCTGGTGAGCCTGTTCAGTGCCCGACCACCCTCTGGGGGAAGAGCCTTTTCCTGATGTCCAGCCTAAACTTCCCCTGTCACAGCTCCAGCAGCTCCCTTGGATCCTGTCCATGGTCACGGAGAGCAGAGGTCAGTGCTGCCCCTCCACTGCCTCGGAGGAGGAAGCTGCAGAGTGCAATGAGGTCTCCCCTCAGACTCCTCCAGGTTGAATAAACCAAGGAACCTCAGCCAGTTCTTTTATGGCTTCCCCACTAGATCGTCACCACCTTGTAACTCAGGTGTTCACAAATACACCTGAGACATATTCTAGTAGTTTCTTCGAATAATGTGTTTGAATTGGCTTTCAAGCTAGAATCTTTTCCCTATTACATTTTCTGTACTTTCTTTCCTCTATGAACACATGTGCAGAATAACTGGTCAATGGTCACTTTAAAACTTCATACGTGTTTGAAACGTCCAATGTCCAGCTATGTTTCTAAATTAATAAACTATTCTGTTATGTTTTGTGAATATCAATCAAAATTTGCTGTTTTCTTCTTAGTCTTTGCTAGCTTCTTAGAAGTTAAAAATACAGTTAAAAGTACAGTCCTGGCTTGGTTCCTTGTGTCATGTGGTGTAATGATCTCTTAAGATACACTTCACATCAGTTGTATAGTTTTGTCACTGCTATGTTACTCGGTATTTTATGAAAGTACGCATGGCACAACATCTCATACTAAGTAATCATCATTTATGTAGAAAAGATAAATTTGTCTTTGCTTTGATTTCCATCCTAAGGAATCCTTCTTAATTGATTAAGATGCTTGTGTTCTTAAGGGCCAAAAGTGCAACTTCTCTACTTTAGTACATATTTCATCTCTGGTTTTCTCTTTATCTAGGCAATTCCCATTTATTGATCAGTACCCTTCTTATGCTATCCAAGAGCTCAGTAAGTCAGTCCCAGTTCTCTTGGAGATTTTAGTTTATCTTTTCTAGCATACTGTAGAGACCCTCTCTGGTGTCATCCCATTCCTGCTCATCCAGCTCCACCTTGGCTTTGCTATTTGCACTGCATCCTTCTCCTACACTTTCAAAAATTCCCTTATATTATCTCACCTATCTTCTTTACACCCTGCCTTCAGGAATACTGATGAGATCTTCCCTGAGCTGCCTTCTTCAGGCTCAACAGTCTCAGCTCTCTGTCTTTCCCCATAGGAGAAATACTTCAGTTCTTTTCTGACCTTTGCAGCCGTGTCTTGGACTGTCCACAGCATCCGTGTCTCTGTCTGGTACTGAGGAGCCCAGAACTGGGAGCAGTGTTTCTGGGTGTGGCCTCACCAATGCTGAGGGAAGGATCACATCCCTCAGCCTGCTGGCCGTGCTCCTCCTAAGGCATCCCTGGACACTGTCAGCCGCCTTTGCTGCAAGGGAATACTGCTGGCTGCTATTCTTCGACTTGGTGTTCACCAGGATGCCTTGTTCCTCCTCTGAAGAGCTGATTCCTAGTTCCTTTAATGATAAAAAGGGCATGCCTGTCACATCATTCTGTTGACAAATTCCTGTTGGAGCCTTTTTTAGGAAAATAATTCCTTGAGATTTTTAATGGGACAAATGAATATAACGTTTTTCCCCACTGGATATGCTCTTGGATATTTCCAAACGTTTTTTGCTAAAAGCTTAAAAAGTATGCAGATTTGTAGTTTTGGAGAATTTCAGTCCTGATAATTAATATTTGGCAGAAATGAAATAAGTTGAAAATACAGTCTTAAAATTTGAAATCAGGAAATCATATAAATAGACTATCAACCAGTTTTTAATTATTCTGTTTCTATAGCAACAGCTTGCTATGGCAATATGTTTTAGTTGAGATTGGTCTGAAAATAAAAGTTATGAAATATGTGAAATATGAACATATTGAAATAGGAAAATAATCTACTGATTTATAAAAAACATATTCAAATTGCACTGGCTTTTCTTTGTTCTATTCTAGGAAGAGTTTGAAAAGTTTGTGCTGTTTTTTATGAAGGCAATAGATTTTGCAACCCATAACAGAAGGTAGGCCATACTGACAGGATTAATTCTAAATCCCAGGAATTGCTGTGGTCTGCTTTTTCAATTCTTAGTCTTGATTTTCATTAAGTAACATGGAGTTATGTTATTAGGGTTTTTGGTTTTGGTTTTTTTTTTTTTTTTTTTAGATTTTTTTCCTTTCATTTTGTAACTTCTGTTACTGCTGTGTGTGCTGTAACAACGTAAGGATACTGCAGTCTTACACTGACAGGATGAACAATCCTGTTAAAAGCTGATGGATATCTCAGCACTTCCTACCCTTTCATAGTTATAATCTTTAGAATGAGAACACCATGTTAGCTTATTTTTAAGTGGATAATTATTAAGCAGAGTATGGTTGTAAGAGTTACCATATTCTTCTTGTTCTGTTCTTGTCTTCTTATTTTTAGTCAGGATTGCTTCCAACGAAAAATAGAAGTTGCACTTTTTAACTTCTAAGAAGTGTCTTACAATGCTCAAGCTGTAATTTTATATTTATTCAAGTTCATGAAATATTATTTTTTTTAATTCTTATTTTTCAGGTATTTTTTTTTGATATATAATGCCTCAGTTCTTTATTGGCAACTTGTGAGGCCGTTTCTTAAGCCTGGATTCCGCTATTGCCTTATTCCCAGTCTTTCACAGATTGTTACAGCATTAAACCGAATTGAAGAGCAAGACAAAGAATGGCGAGCAGAACTCATGATGTGAGTTTAATTGTATTTTTTCTTATGGGCATTCTGTAGTCCTTTTGGAATTGCTAATTGAGGTAGTGTTTTATAAGGTATATTTCACTGTAATGTTGTAGATGTATTTATTAAAGCTTAATTAATAACTTCTTAAAGAGATGTGAATGTACTGAACATAAAATGTGCTTCATTTCAATATTTACTTTAAGCTTGAAGTTTTAGTGACAGCTAAAAAGAAGTTTTAGAGACAGCTGGGCCCTAGATCGGATCTGAAGTTTCACAGTCATTTTGGTATAGTGTTTGAGTCATTGATAGCAACTGGAAATAAATAGTGTATAAATATCAATGTATTACCATTCTCGCATTTCCTGAGCAAAGCTGGTGCATAAACCCTGAGATAACTGTACTGAGAAAAATAGTTTTATGTGCAAAAGGATGAGCGTTCATGTAATTTTTCGAATTACAGGTCGCACTCCCTTTTCGTAGAGATGTTTTGATCCCCTATTCAACAGACTGATTCCAGTTCCTCTTGCAGTCCTACTATAGTTTGTTCCCTTTCTCTTTATGAGTTTTCTGTTTCTTTGGTCTGTGACTGTGGTGTAGTGATATGTAGCATTTCCTTTATAAACTGGAACTGGAGGGAAGTAACAAAACATTCCAAGGAGTTGCTAAGGACTGTCTGGAATACCATGCATGCAGTTTCTTGGAACAAAACTCTTGCTGGGGTATTGATAAGAACAAACAAATGCATGTAGTGTGTTTGTATTATAAAACTAATGCTTGCATTTGTTTATTTTAAAGTTGCCTTTATTTCTAAATTTTAAAAAATTATGGTTATCGTTGTTATTAATTTATGTTGTGGAATAACAGGCTCTTTTCCAGTCAAATAAGATGAAGTACATAAAATCCAGTAGCTATATTGCAGTTTCCAATAGAAATAGTTTTATTTTTCTAAATGGCTTTGAAATACTAGCCTTTCCAGTTGTTAAGGGAGAATCTTGGAATCCGTCTTACAGAAATATTTTTTCTCATACACTTTAAAAGAATTAATCTTTTTACTTCCAGGTCTCTTGTTGATAAAAGTTTTCACAAAAAACCTCCACATTTTCCAAGGTTTTTACTGTGATCTGCACTAAATATACATTAACAGCTGTATATATTTGGAAGAAGCAAAAATCTAGAAATTAGGGGATCTCTTCTGTGTTGAGTCAATGCTTTATAGCACTAATTGCTTGTACTGTGTTTAGAAGTGGTAACTTGAATACAAAGAGTGTTTAAAAAATATAACTAAGAATAATTTTGGAAAGTGTTAATAAATATTTAATACAAACATTTATTTGATCTGCAGAAATTTACTTGAGTGCTTCCTCGATGCTTCAAAACTGGAAGAAGCAAAAGAGTTTTCATCTGCTGCAGCAGTCTTTATTAAGGAAAATGTTCCAGACAAATACTCTCAAATATTTTCTTTAATGGTAATGCTGAAAAATATTTTAAATTCCCATTAAGACAGGATCTCTCTCTACATTTAGTAAGATCATAGTTATAATTGTTACATAATCTGTTTTTTTCATTTAAGTTTTGTGAGCTACCAAACAATTCGGTACATATGCAGAGATTTTCACGAGTTGTATATTTTTGATACTAGAAGCTAAAGAGCTCCCTGCTGCTCAATGTTTTTTTAACACATCATGATATAATGGGGATAACTTTGACTAACCATAAAAATTCTCTTTGGGATTAATTACCATTGAAAGAGGTGTAGTGAGAGCAATTTAACCTGATTTATGCCACTGAGGGCATATTTAGTATCTTTTGACTTTTCTCATGCTGATAAATGCTTGAGTGATTCAGTTTGAACTCTGTAAATAATTCTGGAAATTGAAGGATATTACAATAGTCCACATTTCTTGCATGCCCTTAATTTGGGAAAGAAGAGGGTAAAGACAAATGTGGCAAAAGCAGAAAGAGGTAAATAAAACTCAGAAGTTGTGTGCAGGCATATTTTCTTTCATTCCTCTACGCTATCTCTTGTCTTTTTACTGTTCACCCCCCAGTCGTTTCATTCCAAAAGTGTATGTTTATATTACAAATTTCTCTAACATTTCAATTAAGAGAATCGATATTACAACATTCCAGAGGTGTGATAATAATGAAGTGATCGCCCTGGGGCAAGCTTGAAATTGCTTTTGTATTTTTCAGAAGAATTACTGAGCAAACCTGTTTGATAATGTCCTTAAAGAGAAGAATGAAGCCATTTTAAAACTGCGCTTAGGCTACAGAAGTGTGATTAAAACTACTGAGTGCTTTAGCAGCAGTAAACTGGGGTCCTGCAAAACTTAGTGTACAGCTTAAGTAATCAGTATTGATAGTTGTAGGCAGTCAGTGTGAGAGTCAGAAGAAATGATCTGCACACAATTAATGTGTAACTACAGTTAAGTTGAAGTAACTGCAGTTTATTGTGATGTCCTCGTAGTATTTTCCCCTGCCGATTATAGCTACAGATAAAATTGAATTGGGCATGTGTCTCTCAGCTGGATGACATGACTTCAGAATGAGTTTTATCAAAAGGTGTTAAAAATGCATTCATTAGGATTCTAACTCAGAAGGTAGTTCCACATTTACCTTTCTGCTAAGAGGTTTGATCCTGGCTATCAGAAGGTCAGTATAGCTCTACTGGGTGATCTTTGTATTATCTATGCAGAACAACATAGATTATCGTAGTAGCCACATTGCCCTTAAAGTCCATGAAAACAGTCAACATACCTGCTTTATTTTAGCCCTGTTGAGTGTTGGTCCTTTGCTTATTTAACCACATAATAATTAAATTGTTATTTTATAGGTGTATCACAAACTAATGGATATTTCCCAGGTAGAGAAGGAAATAGAAAATTCCATCCATCTTTCAGTTATTTATAAAATGCAGGTGTTAAAGTTGTAAGTATGAAAATGTATCCTTCCACTTGTACTTTGATGCTGCATATTACAGAGGTAGAATCAGGTTCAGGGATCCCACATGCTTGTAGAAAAACCTACTGCAGAGTTTAATTCCTCAAAAGGAAAATTATAATGACAGTTTGTGTAGTAACTGTCAGGTCTGTCTAGAGAACACTCTCATCTAAAAAGTGAGCTAGCTATTTGGGAATGTAGGGATTTGTGTGTTATACAGATACTGCCAGAAGAAAGAATTTAAGAGTCTGAAAGACATTTTAATATCAAATGGACTCTCGTTCCATCCCCAAGCTGTGTACAAGAAAGTAAAGATGAGGTGGGGAAATCATCTAAAATACAATGTACAAATCATGAAGCATAATGCTTTTAAACCTCTTTAAATTTTAAAAATATAAGAAAAACTTGAAAATTAGGCTTCATAGCAAATTCTTATGTAATTTTTTTTTCAGTGTCTCAAGATTTCACCATTTAAAAAATATTGATTTCTTTTCTTAGTAACAGTGAATTAATTTATACTGACATTATGGGAAATATCATTTATAATGACATTATATGACATTGTGCACACCTTTTTTTTTTTGTTCTGGGATAAAATTTACTGTCGGAAATATTAATTCAGATAATGAAGTTAGGTTTTATTGTTTTGGTTTTTCTTCTTGATATTTCAATATCCAGGTAGCCCAGTGGTACCTTGGAATAAGAGCCATCCATTCTGAAGTTAGGAGAGTATTTCGAAATTTTAATGCAATAACCTTTCTCAGTAAATATTATGACCCAATTCCTCATATGTTGCAGGCAGTGGGACACAAATGTATTTCCAAGTGATGCCACCGCAAATCTGAATTCTTTATATGTGCTTTTGAAACAATATGATGTACCTCCAGCATCTGTTCTCAATGTGAAGTGAGTTTTATTTGTCATAGCCCCCTGGAAGTTGATGATTAAGCTGATCCTGCTTCCATGGAAGTCTGTCAAAATTCCTGATGACCTTACAGACATTGAACTCTTACTTTGTTGTTTGCATTGTGTTAACACATAAGTCATCTTAAAAAAGGACAGAATCTTGTTAGGCTTTATGACAGAACCCAAGATTAAGTATCTTCTTGTATACAGCTGTTTGTATAACATGATTAAATCTTTCCATAATAATTTCTTATTGGTAAAATGAGATGTTTTTCAAAGGTCTTAAAATTGACATGTATTTTTCAGACTGTAGTTACTTTTTAGCTTTTCCTGGGGCCCTTCCCAACTCTTCAGCATAAGTTTGAAAGACTAAACTGACCACTATTCCAGTAGCTATATCACAGCTGTTACATACAGAAGTAATACTACATTTTTACTTGTTAAGGTAAACCCTCTGACAATATTCAGGTACCTCATCACTTCTCCTGTTCCAGACAGTGCACTGTGCTCATTTGGTTATTTACAGACAAACAGTTAGAACAGTCTCCATCTCTGTATCTGTGTTCTTAGTTCCTAGGTAGCAGACTGATGGATTTAACTGCTTTGTGTGCCAGTTCATTGAATTATATTTCCAAAATTTTCTGCAATCTGAAGTTTCTTACTTCATTATGTCTGTGCTTCATGCATTTCATTCTGTATTTTTGTCTTCTTCAGGAACTGTTTGTGCATAGGAGTACACTTATTATTTTCCATAAACAGATTAATTTTTGTATTTTTCATGTAGCCAACTTTGAACTTTCTTTTTCCCTTGTTAATTGTGAGCTTTAGTAGTATAATTATAATTGTAATAATATTTAACATTATAATTATAATTCCTCTAATATTCTTATGACTTTAAGATACATTGCACAGTTACTTTCAAATAGTGTTTTTTTTAATTTCATGGAAGAGCAATATCAAATTCTCTGAGTGATGTTTTTGTATTTTTAAAGGTTTCCTTTGATTCTGGAATTAGCTCATTTTTCTCTGAAAGTAAATTGCACTGAGCTCGCAGCTCATTGTATACTTGATTTGAAGAGCTTTCCAATTACTGTAAGTTTTAATTATGTGGGTTTGGATATTTTTTTTCACACACCTCTACACTCCTATACCACTTTTGTGTTAATGTTTTAAAAATAGTACTAATGATTCTATGTTTCTTTTGGCAAATAAATATTGACTGTAAATTTGTGCTTGTGTTCTTAAAACGGTACCTGTGCTAGAGTTTGATTAGAAGTTAAATTCCAGTTTCTATTAGAATGAACCCACTTATAGTTACTCATAAAATTTAACTTATCCTCACAAATTTTTTTTATTCTGGGTGCCTGATTCAGGCCCATTATTCTGAACATTTCCTGCAAGTCTAAAATCTTATACAAATCCATAGCATTCCACTGGAAGATGTGTTTAAATCCCCTAGATCAAAGATTCACAAGGATTAATCTAAGTATTTGTGTAGGCAGTAGTGGGAAATATCTGTTATGTGGCAGCAATAAAGAAACTTGGCTTCTAATTCAATCTTCTCCATTGGAGTTAATGTGTTTTTAAGTGATCATCTTCTGATTGCCCAGCATCATTTGATAGTGATTTCTTCTCATAGTAGAGTAAGAGAAATCTATGTCAAAATTTCAGTTCCTTGGCTTTTGCCAAGTACTGGCAAATTTCCCAACCATGACACGAGTTTCATCTCTGTGTGTATTTGTCATTAAGTTTTTCACGATCTCTTTTCCAGTCATGGGGATGTTATTTAATCCAAATATTGTGAATCTTAGGTGTTTCTATAATCCAGACATACAATTTATATGATTTAATAGTCACCTCTTTCCTAAGCTGTTAAAAGTCTAACCTCATTTTTTCACTTAAAAGTTTTGCTGCTCATCAAGATGAATCCTTTCTGTCTTGGCTATTGCCTGTTTATTCCAAGCATGTACCTTTTTAATAATGTTAATGAGTAAATGAAAGAGGGCAGATTTAAATCAGATATGGAAATATTCTTCCTTGTGAGAGTGGTGAGGCCCTGGCACAGGTTGCCCAGAAATGCTGTGGCTGCTCCATCCCTGGAAGTGTTCAAGGCCAGGTTGGATGGGTTTGGGGCATAATGGGATAGTGGAAGGTGTCTCCTACCCATGGCAGGGTGTTGGAATTGGATGGGGTTTAAGGCCACTTCCAACCCAAACCACTCTGTGGTTCTATGATTCTGTTAGAACTGAAACCAAACTACAGTATAGGAGGCATCCGGTGTACACTGGTTTTCTTACTGCAAATTCTGGCAATGAACAGCTTAAAACTTATTTTGCAGCCTCTGGTGAATAAAAAGTGACTGCAGCTCTAACAACAAATTCTATTCCCTTTGTACCATTTTAGTTAACTGGCTTGTTTAGTGGGATTTTCAGTAGGAAAGTACAGTCCTGTCCTACTGTAATTGCATGGCTTTAATCTTTATTGTATTTATTTTTGATTACTGAAATTAGCATTTTGTGTATTAATACTTCATAGGAGCAAGGGAAACTTATTGAGATAGAATGCCTGGAATATGAATATGAAATGAAGAAAAATGGCACTGAAATTGTGACTTATACCAAAGGAATTGTTGAGGTATGTTCTTCAACTTTGAGAGAAAAGTACAAGTTTTAATTTGTTAAATGTGGAAAATTGCATTTGACTGTGTGTCTTAATTACATTATACTGATAAGGAATTCTTTTAACCTTCATATTCTCTTAAATTGAATTTCCAAGAAGGAAATGGAGAAAAATAAACCACAGTTGTGTGTTGCTCCCTTAAGTCTTCTGTCTGACTGTAAAAGTTTGTAATATATTAGGTTCCAAGAGCAAAGATGGTAGCATGGAGGCATACAAGGGCAACACTCTCATATTTTCATATTTTGCCTTTATGGGATCTCTTTTCATGGAATATCTTGAGTTGGAAAGGACCACTAGGGATGATTGAGTCCATCTCAACTGCAATTGCATATTATGGTCAATCTTATACAAACTCTTATGTCAGAGAAATGTAGATTGTTCCTGATAAATTGTCACACTAGAGAGGATTTTCTTGAATTTCTGTGGTTGGTTGGCTCAGTTATAATTCAGATCATCAAAGTTAGAAGCCTAAATATTAATATTATCAATGGGATTAGAGAGATGCCTACAATGAGCAGTTTAGACCAGCTATTAGAGTCACCTAAAATTCCTACAGTGGGAAGTAGGAATATGTTTAACAGAAATTGGAAGTGCAAAGACTTACTCCTATCTAGGGCTGTTACAATTTTGGAGTTCAGAACTTCCAATCACCGTTTGAAAAAAACCCTCTTGTTAATGAATTCTTCATAATATGAAACACTATTAATAGTAAAATGTAAAACAGGGTGTTTACATATTTCTAGACTTTAAGTCTACAGTGGATGCAGTTGGAGAGGGATTTTGTTTGAGGTTTTTCTGTTTTGTTTTGTTGTTTACTTGCATAACCTCTAAAAATAGCATAATAAAAGACATGTCTGTTACTGTAGGTAACATTGGCCTTTAGATTTAATAAGAGCCAAGTTTACTTGACAGTATGGCAAATTCCATTAATAATATTTCTTTTTTTCTTCTTCTGTACTGCATTGGTAGCTGAATGTGAAAAAAGCCAAAAAGTCTAAACCTTCTGAATTCAAAAGTATTCACAATTATCAATTTTTGTTTATCATAAGAATGGGGAATAGCTGACAGACTTCTGCCAGAAATATGTGATAGCAGCTTGGAGCACCTAAAAGAAATGCTCCTTAGTCATTGATGCCTATATACAACAAAAAACAAAACAAAACAAAAAATCAAGCAAAACAAAAAAACTAAAGGAATTATTAGGAAAAAAGTTTCTGAATCTGCTGGCTGAAGGACTGCTTCCTACTGAAAACAGTCCTGAGATTAAAATTTGGAGGAACAAGTAAGAAATTCCATTTATTAAATGCAGTAGCGCTAATTACTTCTTCATGTATGTAGGCTCAGCTGAAATTGATAAAAAGTCTTGAATTCACATTAAAACGTGCAGTTCAGTTGGGAGATCCTGGTGTGATCCAGGTTGTTTGTGCAACCCAGTGGAATCTGTGCTTACCACTACTGCAACACAATTTGCACCAACATGTGCGAAAGCCACTGATCTCAGTTGCTGATGTCCTTGAAGAGATTGACAGGTAATTTTTAATGCTGTGTAGTTTTTTGAAAGGTCTCAAAGCATAAACTCATTTAAAAGCTCAAGTTCCATGATATTAAGTGTCTTTGAGAATAAATGCATGTCTGCATGTTGCATACATTTCCCTGTTACTCATTTAAATATAGGTTCGTTTCAGGCACCATCTTACACTGTTTAATAACCTGTAACAAAAATTGAAATATTTTAGGAATTTAAAAATACTCTAGTTAATCAAAATTATTTGAGAAAATGCCAAAGCTGCAGTGTGTGTGTTAGACTGTGGTCTGTATTCTTGTGTTAACATTGCTTTTGTTGGTTAAAAAAATAAAATCATAAAAAAATTACTTTTGAAAAAAACATCATGGCTTCTATACTACATGTCAAATAAGACACTTCTTGCAAGATACTATTTTTGTATCTTTGATGATACTTCTTTTTAATTGAAAAAGCTGTATTAAGAAAATTTATTATTTTTGGGGCTATATTCTTCTATTTGCTATTATGCTGTACTTAACCTTAAGCACCTAAATATTTTCACCTTTTTTGTTAATTTGAGCTGACAAGTAAAAATTACTATTTGTAACTTAGTTGTTTGGACCTATGCATCAAGACTTAAGAACAGAGATCAGAACTTTTGCAGTAGAGTGAGTTGTAATTGACATTTCAGCAGGACAGTAGGTGGTTTCTGCTGCAAGTTTTGCAGAGGAAGGTGAGGAATCTAGTTCCAGTGTTCTCAAAATTTTTTTTAGTTGCATAAAGAGGAGATAAACACATGCATGAAAGCACTATATGGTATTACTGTACTGTTATTCAAGCATTTCTTATGCTTTCCATATAGAGAATGCAAGATCAGCATAGGCAACTTTGAAATTTGTACTAAATGTTAGTAATGACAATTTTTCACTAAAAGAAAGATGGGAGATTTTGGAGAGATTAGGGTTTGAGGGTTTGTCACATATATATTCCTGATATTCTTAATAATCCAGTGGACTCAGCCTGAACTCTGATGTGTTTCTGTCTCTAGAGATTGAATGAAGTAATTTACTAATTGGCCTGTCTTAATTTTTGTTTTGATTGCAGCATTAATTGTGGCTACTTTGGTACGTAGGAAAAGGGTGACACTTGCTCAGTCAGGCTGGCTCTGATGTGGACACACATTAGTCCTTACAGCATATTTGATGGCTTTGAAAACCTTTCTTCTCTCTCTTTTTCATTGCGTTAGTTTATCTGATTTTTTTTGTTTTTCTTCCTGAAGATAATCAGTGGTAGCATGTAGAGCTCTGAGCTGTCAGGAACAGCTTCCTGGGGCAGGTGATGGATAGGGAGCTGAGCATACCTGAGACTGGTGAACATGCAGTTTTTGGTGAAAACCTGCTGCTGGCTCCATAGAGTGGTGAGTGGTGTCAGCAGCACCTGGCTAGAGACAGTACTTTGAACCTTTATGCCTGAGGTGAGCCCCAAAAGAGCTGAGCAAATATGACCAGGGCTAGACTTGGAGGAGTATTAGCTTCTACTTAAATGTTAGGAACAGAGAGTCAACTTTTGTCAAAAGTCCTTATTCAGCACATTATCATCTCTCTGGCAGTTAGCTACTTTTGAAAACCTCTTCACTTGATTTGCACACCTAAGCAGTACTGAAAAGGAGTTCTACAGATACATAAAGATCAGTTAGTTCACAGGATGTGTTGCTTTCTCCTGCAGGGCCAGTAAAAGTAATACGCAGTTAAATTTTGTTATTAATTTCAATTTAAAAGGCATAATAGTGAAAATTAAAGGAACAAGTCAGTTAAAAAGGGAATATCAATTTTAATACTAGAGTCACTTTTAATTTTTGAGTTTCACCTTCAGGTGAGTTTTAGGTCTAAAAATTTTAGTGTGTCTTATTTTAACAGTTTACACTTAAATTTGTAATCCTTAGCATGTTGATTTCGTTGCGTTGCCAAGTTCATATGGAAATAGCTCGTATTGAAGAAGATGGGGAAAGACTAGAGGCTGCTCTGGAGCACTTGCACAAAGCTATGCACCTGAACAACAATGGGCAGTATCGAGAGCATCTGCGGCTGAGTTTCAAGCGCCTTCGTTTGAGTGCTCTGCTCTACGAGTCACCCGAGCGCCTAGAGGATCGGGCAGGAATGCTGATTGAACAGGTAAGCATTTAGAACAAGGTCTGTAGCTGGAATAGGCTTGCTTATTAAATTCCAGCAGAGGAGAGACAGCTGTTTAGTAGAACTGAATATTAGCAGAGGCAGATCAGCTTGTTTTCAGCAAACTGTCTTTGCTTTGTTACCTTGAAGTGGTCGTGCTGTTCCACAGTCAGAAAATTATAATAGAGAACTTTTTTTCCCAATTTTTTCAAATATTATTTTTTAGGGGAAGGCAGGGAGTTGCTAATTAGCAGAAATATCAGCAAATAAAGAATAGCAGTTGTCAATAATTAGGATTTCCTTGCACAAAACAGTCTTTTATTTAATGAGAAGCACAGTATCCAAATTGCTAAATGTCCTAGCTGGCTATGAGATAAATCAATATTATGTAATGCTTACAAATGCCACTAAGTAATACACTCTACGGTCACAATATAGGCACTGTCAAGAGTTACTGGATCTAATTCTGTTGTGCTGCCTTAGCACCTGTACAAAAATCATACTGGCACCTTATTGTTTTCCTGGTTTAAATGCTTTTCCATGCAAGCTTACTCTGTTTAAATTTTGCTTTAAAAAAACCCACACCTCCTCTAACTTTGGCTAGTTCTTAGCAGACCAGGATATTGTTTTATATTTTATAGCAATTCCTAGTAACTGCACACTGGACATCTTACTGTTGGTTGTAAATAAATTCTGTTCTTCGAGAAGGTATAACATAATGTCTGGTTATATACTGAGGAATATACTGTAAAGATTCATGAGAAGCAGGAACAGTACTTTGTATTAAATTATTCATGGTGTAATCATGTGAATATCAATAGCAGTTCCACAGTCACTTTCAATGACAATAATACTGCAGAACGATGTGTAAGATACCTAGATACACAATTCCTATAGGTAATTTTTTTGGTAGTAGTAACTTACATGATGTGTACTCTGTTATGTTTAGTAAATAAGATCTAGTTGAAATATAAAATGAACACTATAACAGTGAGTTCTTTTCTTTATGTAGGCTAAAAGGGGAGAACAAAAAGATAATGTGAGGAAAAACAGATCGCTTCTGGTAAATGCAGGTCTTGCATTAGCTCCTGATACATTTCAAATAGTCCTTGACAGTGAAAATGAAGTTAAAGGTAAAGTATGTGTGTGTGACTAAAAGAGACTGCACTTTGCTTTGCATACTCTTAAAGGCTGGATGTACCACCCCGTGGCAGCATATAGGGAATATTGCAGTACAGGTGAAGTGATAGTTCTGCTGAATTCTGTGGCAGACTTCCTAGCATTTTCATTAGGGATCTAAAAGTTGTATGGTGATACTGGAAAAGATGTTGATTTCTCCTCCAAATTCCCCTGGACCTTACCGTTGTGCTGTAGGGTGCTTTAAGTGTTTCTATTTTTAGTATGTGCAAGTCCTGAATGTTTTTAGCCAAGGTCATTTTTAAGTGGTGTTTTCAGAAATTTCACCAATAATAGCCTGTGTTAATTACATTGTTTATTCTTTCTATATTGTAATTGTATTCCTCTTCTAAGATCTTGCTTTTGAAAGCTCTAGTTTTGCACAGAGATTTAGGTGTGAATTCATTATTTACTTTCTAAAACATGGCAGAAAAATGGACACATTTTCATGCCCCAAACGGCTTCAGTTTGTGATTATAGAGCCGCTGGTTGAGGAAGAGCGGACAGGGAATAGACTTTCCAGATTGCTTAAACCGTTTTGTATTATCGTGGCAATAAAACAACTGCGTATGTGACTAATATTATTTTAAGTAGAGCCAGTGTACTCTTGCAGTAGGGATTATAGATCCTGGTGGAATACGGTTTTTTTTTCATGTCAGTTGGTTGGTTTGGAGAAAGCTTCAAGAAATGAGAAAAGGACTGGATTTTGAGTGTTTCAGCAAGGAATTATGAATCTAATTGCTTGCCATTCATATGGATTTTTAAATTTCTAATATATAAAAGCTACCTTTAATTTTTATTTCTTTTCCAAGTTCCCTCAGGTAAAAGCAATAGTCAAATAAGCTACCTCTGTGCAAAAGCCCAACATCATACTAAAAGTGTGGAGAAAGTTGATGAACATTTGAAACACTTAAGAAATGGAAATGACAGAGAAAGGTAATTGCTGCAGATCAGAAGCGTCTCTTTCATCTTCTGTAGAAAGGTTCTGTCTCTGAGGCTTTGTAGATGGTGCCTTGTAAGAGGCTGAATGCTTCAGCCTCTGGCAACGTATTGAAGCCTGTGTATAATCTCTTGTCTGAAAAGCTCTGTTACATTTCCATGCTACACAGAATTTTATTCTTTGCCTGTTTCTAATCTGCTCTCTCACATGCATACTTAAACTCACCTGTTCTATTGATATGAGCCCAACATACAGAGGGATGCTTGGATTAAGGCTTGTGCTTGATGTAAAATTGAAACTCACAAGTGTCCTTTTAGGTCCTTGTACCACATAATTTGCTACAACTTTTTTGGTAAAAAAACTAAGTAGTTAATTCTGAGAGTCAGAAATATTAATCTGTAGGAAAATGATTTAATTTTGACAATTTATATATCATTTTGTCATTCTTTATTTAATAGGATGTGTCTACTTTTTTGCTGCACTGAAATTTCTGTGCTGAAATTTAAAGGCAGTTGTTTTCTAAAAGATTCTAAATCCAGACTTGTTTGCAAGACTTATTTATAAATTCTCAACATTAGTTTTGAGATATTTAGTTTCGTTTATGAGATAGAAAATGAGGGTTGTCACACATGTTTTGAAATTTCTTGGATGGTATAAATACCATCCAAGACAAGAATTTTGTCTCTTGATATGCTGAGGAGATTATTTTTAATTGATAAAGTAATTGTGCTACCTTTGCTACTGACAAGAAGTCTTCCATATATTAATTTTGATTAGATAGTAATTATTTCTTTCCTGACGGCCATCATTATTGATATTGTTTTTGTCGATCCTGAACTGAGGAACCTAATCCTGCTTATTAACTTATTTTATTTATGCTTTTTCTTTGGTAGAATTATACTTTGGGCAGATTTGGCAAAAGTTGCTCGTAAACGGGAAGTGTGGGATGTCTGTCGTGCAGCATGCAGATTTTGCCTCTTGTATGATGATATTTTCTTTAGGGAGGCAACAAAGCATAAAAAAAGTAAGTGACAAATTATTTTCAATGTTGTAAGGAAGTTTTTCATCGTTTATTAAAGTTACTAAAAGGAGTCAGATAATATTGTTTTCTTTCCTCCCATTCCCAAAGTTCCCTGAGTTTCTTTTCTGGCACTGCATGTTGGCATACGTGGAATATTCTTTCTACTTCCAAATCTAGAAATGGGTCATTACATTTTTTTGTAGAAGCTGTACTCTGCCATCAGAAGTGTTTCACCTGTGTTGTAGAGAAGCACTTCTATGAAATACATTTACCTGCCTTAAGGACACAGGCAAATTCCCTAATGGTCATCTAGGTCCATATCATTCATGCATTCTGTAGAGAAATGGGTTGTTGTTACACTTTGTATGAGGCTCATATGTTAATATTTTTTACCCTTTAATCCCCTATTAGTGAGTGGTTCCTCTGAGGTATCCAACATCATACCTTGTTCCTTGAGGGTCTACCACAAACCTAGCACTTGAGGAAAAAGCACTTTCAAATCACTCTCTGCTCGCTGCCATTTTAAGCAGGTTTTGTCAGGAAGTTTGTTTTAAGAATAGATGAAATGGTTTTTCTTTTCACTAGCCAAAGTTAATCAAACCTTTTCCATACTGTTGCCAAGGTCCACTTAAAATTGGACATCAATTTGCCGGTTTTCTTTCACAAGTTTTGCGTCTTCATACTTGCCTTGTTTAGCCTTTGTCTTCTTTCCAAACAAAATAAGGGAAAAATAAGTACACTTAGCAAAAACTAAAGGCAACCACGTGCCAAAAGCATCGTGAATAGAAACTGGTGTGTTCTTACAAATTTTGTGTTTATATTAAAATAACCTTAGTCCTTTCTCTTCATTATTAAACCAAAGAAAAAGAATGCTATTTTCCTTCTTTACTGATGTGTGCATTACCTGAAAGTCAACCCAGTCCATGAATCAAATGCACAAAGGCTTTTGCCTCTGCATAATTCAGTTCTATGGTCCACTTCCACTAATGCCATAAAATTGAACTAGAGGCCATGGAGTCTATTCAACTGAAAATTCAGTATGTATATTATGACTGGGGCAAGTTATTTGCTGCAAATACTGAAGGTTATGCACAAATGCAGCAAAATAACAGGTAACAAATGCCTCAGCACTGCTTGAGAACAGGTTTTGAGTGCAATAAATGGTACTAAAGAAGAAATTGGTTGCTTGAAATAGTTAAAATATTTTCTTGCTAGCTATTCCTTGTGAATTTAAGAATATGAAGAGGTTTGTAAATTTAAAAATGAAGATGATGATATGCATGGAATTAATAATGGGTTTATTTATTTTTTAGCACAGAAGAATAAACCTAATGCAACTATGATGGTTGGTCAAGGTGACAGCTCATCAGGAGAATCATTGCTGCCTGCTAAATCCTTCTCTTTTGAACCAGATTTACTCAGAATACTAGCAGAAATAAGATTTATTAATGCAGAAGTAAATAAATTTACACAACTGTCATTCATATTTGCTTAGTTTTGGTTTATAAACAAATCTTGAATCATTGGAGATTTGAGTTTAGTTATTTTCTATCTCCCTAGGAAGCAAAGGGAGAAGTGGTTTCATGAAGCAACCTTATCAAAATACTGTATGAAAGTAACTGTAGCAATAGTTTTACCACAGGTGCTGATCACACTTCTTTACAAGAAGTCCAACTGTAAAATTTTGACATCTGACATTATATTTCTGGATCCTTGAAGTTCCAGAATGATTTTAAAACTTACGTATATAAATAATATTTTTTTCTCCATGTAAGTATTTAGTAAAGGTAACTGTAGACAATTTTAAGCTTATGAAGTACTAAACCTGTATATTTGTACATGCCTGTACAACATTTGAAAAAGCATTTTGCATTTTTTAGTTTTTGAAGAGGTAACAGCAGTAATATGAAGTCATAATCCATTTTTACAATGATCACCTGGGTAGACAATTTATTTCTCTGTGTCTTTTCAGGCAACTGTTCATTTATTAAGACTGCAGGGAATCAAACTGAATGATCATGCTGTACCTCCAGAAGCTGCATACCAGAGTCATCCAGGACGTGTTCCATATCTTCCTGAAGGTGATCCAGAATGGAAAATGTACAGGTGCTTCTTTCTAATATATATCAAGACCAAGGAACTCTTAACATCATTATTATCAGACACCAATTATAATTGCAAAAGCTATTTCTTCTTAGTAAAATTGTCACCAGAGTCTTTATTTTTGTAGGTAGTCATGGGAAATGGGAAAAGGATCTAAAAAATCGTTTGAAATATTTTTTCTTAGGTTTCGTTTCACTTTGGAGTGTGGATTTTATCTTTCATTTAACATTTATTTCTCTGAAACTAGAAGCTAGTATTCCAAGTTGAAAACCAAATAAATCGTTGTATATTGACACTTAGATGATTAAATTCTGTATTTAAAAATATGTTTTCCCAAATCAAAAAAACTCTTTTTGTCTATACAGTACTGAATGCATGCGATGAATTAGTCCAGTTTGCAAATCTAGTGTGTTCCATCCAACCAACTGAAATGGATTGGGGAGAGTAGAATATAGCAAGTATTGTTTGTTACTAGTCTCACATGATTATTTCTTGTGAAGGAGAAGAGGGGGTAGAGAGATTTCTGCAGGTGATGCTTAGACTCTCTGCTGTTGGCATTCATAGTAATAGCAGCCTTACTGTCCCAGTGCTCGTGTCCTGGGAGAGCAGAGTTGTGTCCCTAGGTCTGTTCATTAAGGCTCAAAGTGAAGTGAAGTTTCTCACACTGTCTGCTTGCAAATGTGCAGTAGAATGGGAAAAATTATAAACTGATCAGAGCCAAGGGGCAAAGATGATGAGAGTTCTCTTCCAAAATTTGCTACTAGCTATTTTTGAGTTTACCTAATTAGATTAGAAACCCATATTAAAAAACTACTTTGGTCTGGTACTGTGTCCTATACCATCGTTGAAATAGTAATACCCAGTGTCATTTTGTGCTTTTGACTTTTTGACTTCGTAACCCTGGCAATTCTGTATGATCATTCAAGACTGCATTTTTAGTATTGTTTATTCTAAGTAATAGTACATTTTGATAATAAAGAAAGAAGGTAAATTTTTTGAAAGTTGTCACATAGGTTGAAAAAAATTGTATTCTATTTAAAATTATTACAGCATTTTAGAGCACCTGGAAATGTCTTTGAATGCAGGAACACATTCAGTTTTGAGTAAAAAAGACATGTCCTTAAGTCTCAGATGGCATGCCTCACTTACATTGATATTCAAGTAGAGTCTTGACATGGTTATTTAATGATTTCTGGCACCGATGGGTGGATTCACACATGCATTTAAAAAACCTGAACTTGTGGATGAAACATGAACCATAGACACTGGTTTTTAAGCTAACAGCCTTGAATGTCAGAGACTACTCTTTTGATATTGATACTATTTCCTTTTCTGAATCATCTTCTCATGGAAGTAAAATACAAGTCAGTGGATGAGAACTTAATAAATGCAACTGAAAAGTAATGAAATTTTTGTTCTTGAAATTTTTGTTGTTGGCTGAGATGTAGTACTGCATATTTAATCTTACAATAGAACTTCTTCTAGTGTTGAAGCTTTGGAAAAACATCTTCTTTATTCCAATTTTATAGTTTATGGATAGACAACTTATCTTGGTACGCTATGGAAAACTTCCAACGTGCAGCTGAAATAGGAGAAGAATTGAATGAAGCCTGGATTGTTCATAATGCTGTGGTGTATATCTTAAATTATAACAGACATCTGATTTCTTCAGGAAGACAGAGGGACATTATTGAGTATCTCCATACTCTTCTTGGAGCCATCAAGACTGTTGGGCACGACAGGTAAAATTAAATGTTTGGATATGAACTTTTTTTTTTCTTAAAACATAGAAAATATTATTGCAAACATTGAAAGTCAGTTTGTGCTGTGAAATATTTATTGCTGGCTTTCACTGGTAGTGAAAGAGCCTTGGTATATACAGAGTACCTCAGGAGGTAAATTGTGAAAATTAAATGATAATCCTTTCTGTTTGTTCTTTGTTACTATACTGTAAGCCATGCTAACTTTAGACCAATAAATATTACTTTCTTTTCAGTGTGGAATAGCAACATATGCATGTGAAATAGCATTTTGTTAAGTTAGTCAGAAAATTGGGAAAATTATCTTAGACTCAGAATTTGCAAAATGGCTCAAAATGCATTTGCTTGCTGTCAGTTCTCTGAACTTGAATTACTTTGTAAATATAGTTGATTGAAAATATTTCTAACTAGTGTAAGGTGATACTGGTTCTGAAATAAGAGAAAATAGAAAAAAAAAAAAAAGGGAATGTGCTCATTAGTTCCATGAAAATGGGAACACAGATTACACAGTTGTTTAGAAAAATCCTGTTCTGCAGTAAATGCAAAGGGAGAATGATTGACCATTGTGAAGTAAATACTCTAGTTAAAGTCTGACTATGGGACAAATTCCTAGGTATTTTGGCCCTTCATTGACAGTGACCTCATCACTAAGTAGAGTAAGGACCAGCAGCAAAGATATCTCTTTTAACAGTACTGGGAATAAAATCTAAATTTCAGTTTGTGCAGAGATGCTTATTAATTTTGATACTTACATCAGCATGTACTAGCAATACTCTCTTAGATGTACTTAGTCTCATATTTTCTCAAAAAAAAAAAAAAAGAAAAAAAGAAAAATCTCATCTTCTCAGCTTGGCAGTGGATTGGCATGATAACCATAAAAAATGTGAAGGCTTGGTTAAGGAAAATTTTTTAGAAAACATTTGCTCTTTTCATATATACCCATCAATAAAAAGTTGTTTTAAATGTTGGTCTGGTATATGCTTTTTTTTCCTGTGATGAAAGGGAAACTTCAGTAACAGAGTGAGAAAAATTGATGCCAGCTGAAAATTGATTCTGGATTTTGTAGTTTTAATCATTAAACTGCTTAACCAATGGGCAGATTTTTTTTTTTTCTGTAATATCCATAATTTTGCTTTCTAAGAAAAAAACCTAGATTTTCAAGTAATGCTTACTTCTTAAAATCAATAACTTTATTCCTGCCTTTTAGGTTGATCTGATGCAGTATGCACTTCTGATTTTTATTTTCTTCTATAGAAGTACTGACATTTTTCTGATGTTGTGTAATGCTTTGGCTCGAGGCCTAATTATTTCTTGGATTCCAAAGCCAAAACCTGCTGAGAACACAGAAGATACAGCAATAGAGAGTAGCAGAAAAGCTGCAGCAAAGAAACAGGAAAAAGCAAATATCATCCAGTCTTTTTCAGTAGATCCCAGTGGACTTCCTGACATCAAAGCTGCCTTAGAGGTACAAACCCCTGATTTTTTGTAGTCCCTTTCATTCTGCTGTCATATATTACAATTCCTATAAATTTAATAGTAGAAACTTTTGGGGAAAAAAAAAAAGGTACCTTCTTTTACAGTTTCTGCCACCACAGATCGTCCCCAGTTGTACACTGGAGCTCCTTAGCAGCTGGGGGCTGAGGACTGTAACTTCTGTTTGCCTCGGGTTGGCTTAAAGGAGATTCTGTTAGCCTTAGAGATGCATGTGCAATAATTTAAACATAACTAATGGATAGCACGTTCCATAAAAGAAACTTTCCACATTCTTCTGTGTTTCACATTTATTTTTTCTCTTCTTGGTGTTTAGGTTTGTGAATTTGCCCTAAATGCAATGACTGGAACCAGACCTAAGGAAAAAGTCTCTATTACTGCACAACAACAGATCATTGCTACCTGGGTGAAAGCAAAGCAGTTAAATCAGCAGCAGATCAGGCAGCAGCTTGGGACTCAGGAGGAGGAGGAGGTATGACTGCCCTGAAATCCTGCGTAACGTTGAAACTTTACAGAGAAATTAAATTTGTAAATTCATTTAATAATAACTGAAGTTATCAAGGTATATTTTCTTCTGTATATTTGATCAGAATGTAAAAACAAATTTTGGCTTTAGTTCCTTATGGAACATAGCAAATTTTTCACATTGGGTATAGCAGTGAGTCTACATTTCTTAACTCTTCCTTCTGTTGTTAGCTGCCATGGAGATGTTTGTCATATGATGACTGTTGAGCAAAACTGATTTTGAATTCACAAATGTAAAATAATAAAATGGCTGTATTAAGAGTATCAAGAAAAATCAGCTATATTTATGTCAACATTTACTATGGCCTCTTTATACGTAGAGATTATAGACCTAGTAAGCTGGAAAGAAAAAAATTAATTCTTATATTTTTATTTTATAGTGTCTATAAAACGGGAAACCCTCAGTGGAATATGAAATATGCCTTCATTGTAATGTTGATGTGGGCTTTTAGTGTTGAAACTGTAGTAGTTGAGTTCACAATGTCAATTAAAAATATGTAACTACAAAAAAACTGACCATTTTAAGGACATAGTAGAGAGCAGGAATTGCTAAGAGCAAATTGAGATTTTCCAACGTTGTTGTTGTTATTATTATTTCTCAATTAATGTCCTTAATACTAACTTGCAAAAAACCCCCAAAACCTCTGAATGTGAATTTTTAATTTTTGCTTAGAATAATGATGAAGCACAAAATCCTCTGGCAAGAATTCTTGTTGGTCTGGAAATGTATTCATGTAATGGCTTGGGTCTCATGGATTTCACTGTTCCTAGCTTATCTCAGGTATTTTGGGTTTTTTAATAAGCTCTTGAGTTTTATGAAATTGTGTACTATGAATTTTATTTCAGATTCCATTTTAAATGGAATTTAAATTATTTTAGAAACTTTTATTGTACCATTATTTTCTTTAACCAAGAGATTAAATATTTATGACAGGAAGGAGATTTTTGTGGCAGAGTAATTTTATTTATCCAAAGACCAGATAGCATTAGAATATAAATATTAGGTTTGTGCTTGTGTTGCTCTAGCAGATTGTTTCAGTAACCATTAGATGATCATAATGAGTTCAGATGAATTCTGTACAGAATCATACTTCTAACCTTTCAGTATTCTTCTGGAGAAAAACTTAATAAAAGCATAAAGTTGTTTAAGTTAGAAAAGCCCTCCAAGACTGTGGAGTCCAGCTGTTCCCCCAGCACTGCCCAGGCCACGAAATGCCACATCCACACGACTTTTAAATTCCTCCAGGGATGGGGACTCCAGCCCTGCCCTGGACAGCTGTGCCAGGGCTGGACAAATCTTTCAGGGAAGAAATTTTCCCAAAATCCAACCTAAACCTGCCCTGGTGCAACTTGAGGCTGTTTCCTCTTGTCCTGTCGCTTGTTCCCTGGGAAGTGAGACAGAGGTTATAGGGTTATACAGAGGTTTGAGTTTGTATTAGAAGCATTCAATATTTCAACAGAAAACTTCATGTTATAGTGAATTTACTTTAGATAGTCGCAAGGTAGAACACAGCTACGCTTGGTTACTGTTGATTGACTCTGTGAAACTAAACAAGCAGGTTGCCAGGGCAGCCACCAAACTACTGCTGACAACTGGGATTTGGGTCCTTATAAGTTTATAGTACCTAATTCTTGTCGGTCTACAGATTTATGTCAAATATGACGAGTTAACTTTAGCTACACTTCACCAGCATAGTTTTGTACAGCAGTGTTGTAGTATCTTCATTTAGACCAATTCATTAACAATCACCACTATCCTAGAAAGGCAGAACTTTGACATGTACAAAAGAAATTAAATGGAAATGTTTAGATCCTATAATGAAACTATACATGAAACTATCTATATCTTTATATATGTTTAGGTTGGATAAGACCTCTAGGATTATGGAGCCCAAGCTCTCCCAAGCTGCCACACATATAACAGTGTACATAGCAACTGCTTATTACAATGACTGGTTGTTGCAAAACCAATTCTATGTCCCATTCTTACTTTTGGCTTAACTAAAATGGGCTCTGAAATTTGAAAGTCCTATTCCACTGATTTTTGAAAGATGACAGAGGACATAGAGTAAGTACTGGCAGATACTTCTGGCCAAAAGGCATGCACATTTACAGCTGGATTTGCACACACTGGTAATAGTTACTACATGATGGATAAGGCCTCTCTATTGTATATTTGGTACTTGTAGCTCTTTGATTTTCTAGATAGCTTTATCACATACTTGTTCCATGCTCAGGTGGGTTGTAAGGAAGTTACAGCTCTAGGCATGTAATTGCTGTAGAAAAAAGCATATAAAAACCTGAAAACTAAACTTTCATATTTTTTTTAATCCTAGTTAGTGAAATTGGCCTTAGAATGCAGTTGGTCAGATTCCTTAGTGGAATTGCAAACACTGACACGACTTACATATTTTGCATATGTATCACAAGACTATGAAAGAGTGATGATGTGTTCCAAGAGGATCTTGGACTCAGATGAGAATGTTGTCCGCAATAGAAATATTAAGAAATATGGCGTGTAAGTACATAAAATTTTGTATGATATGGTAATGTACTTGAACTAAGTTTTGAAGAAAGTAAAGAGGACGAATGTGTTTGGTCACATAATCAAAAATGGAAGAATCTTTTTTCCCAAAAAATGGTGCAGTTAGAGATGAAAATGGAAGTTAAAGGCAGTGAGAGATCCAGATTGTGGTTCTGTACCCTGTTCAGAAAGATTGATGACGCTTGCCATCGAGTGAGTCAGAGGTTGTACATCTCTGTGTTTGGGGGTCTTCCCAGGAGCACTGCTGCTCTGAAATGATCCCTGGCAATTATAGTATTTTGCCACTTTTTAAATCTCTAAGCAGAAAATCTGATTCTACTTTTTTTTGCTTTTTGGTTCAAATTGCTTTCAGTGCTTATCTGGCTCTAACACACATAATTCATGGGCCAGGTTGGAGCTGGGGGTGATGAAAGACACGAGCAGCTCCTGTACTCCAGGCTCTGCTGTCAGGTAGTCTGACAGCACTGTATTGCCACCTCTGCATATGGGTGCAACAGGAATGAAACTAATTCCTTTGAAAGCCCAGTCTCTTACTTAACTGATATTTTGAAACTTGGCTTTAAAAAAAAAAAAAATTATAAAAATGTTGATATCCTTCAAGCCTTCTATTTTTTAAAATGATTTCGTCCAAAAGCAACATTTAATTTTATCTGAAGAGGAAAGAATCAACTCCGTTTAATAGCAGTTTTTCTGGAATGTCGGAAGTTTGAAATAAGCGTGTGAAAGATTTCAGATACAATACAGCGTTCATATTCAACTTATAAAAACAGTATTCTGTTCCTTGAAACTCGTTTTGTACATGGGTTTAAAAGCATACAAAGCCAAGTAAGTTATCTTAAAATTAAATAGATAGTTTCAGAACTTCACAGAAATTCAGCGACTACTTGCTGCCATCTAGCAATCTGCAAACTGCTGAGAGATGAAATGTTTGTGTAGCGATGTGCTGCCGATGCCGTTCCC